CAGTGGTCTATGTACGGAAGGATACGGAACCTTAGCCACTGGGGCCAAGATACCTTAGATTTTGAGCACTTCAAGACCTTGGACTCCAGGAACCAATTAAAGAGAAATAACCTAAACAGGAATGGGCGAGAGCCCCTAGAGAACGGAGGCAGTCCCAATTTAAAATGGGGAGAAACGTGGAATGTATGCACGTCTATATGCTGAGTACAAGCAAATGGTCGTACTAACCAGGGTAGATTTTGCCCAGGAACACTGTTATTATCTACTATATTTTTTCAACCATGAAAAATAAAATTAGATTTGGCTATTTAGAATTTGGGTATGATTTCTATGGGCTGATTTTCTAACAAAGAGAAAGCTGATTACAATGGTCTGTCATTTGGAGATCAATTTACTGGTAATTTATAAAGGTCCCCCAAAACCTAATTATGTTATTTATGAAAAGACCCAATGATTATGGCATTGGAAAGTTCACCCTAAGAGAGAGGCCATTGGTTATCATTTATCAAAAAAAGTGTTCATTGTTTTTAAACTTTGGAGTGGGGTAGTTATAGGTTACTTTCACCAACTTTTTAAAAATTAAATGTATTGGGGTAATATTGGTTAACAACATAAGTTTCAGGTGTACAACTTTATAACATACATCTGTATATTCCACTGTGTGCTCACCACCCAAAGTCTAGTCTCCTTCTATCACCATATATCTGACCCCCTTTACCCACTGCATCCTCCTCCAACACACCTTCCCCTCTGGTAACCACCGTATTACCCCAACTTTCTTTTAAGAAAACTCTGTCAGTCCATTCCCTCAGGCCTGGTATCCGTTTCTGACATCCCTATTTTTCTCTAGTTTCAGAGAAAAATTTGCCAATCTGGTCCAGAAAGTAGTCCTAAACAGCCTAGATAAAATGTAACATTTAGCTTCCTTTCCTAGCCAAAAAAAAAAAAAAAAAAGAAAGAAAGAAAAAAAAGAAAAAAGAAAGAAAAAAACAGATAGCAGTGCTTATTGTGCCTACATATCCCTTTACTTCTCATTTAGAATATATAAAGTGACCCACAAAGAGATGAAGGAGACAGAGCCATCCCAGCCCACTCAGGGATGTATCTTGTAGGAAAAAAGGAAATTGAAGGGTTTCAGAGTGTTGTACTTGATATAGTACACAAGTCTGAGTTCTTGCCTCAACGATATTCAACCGATAAAACAACTAGAATGGGTACAAACTTTACTAACACTATGGTCTTGGGTGGGGAACAGTTGCCAGGTTTGCCATTTATCTTCAGTTTGAACACCCATCATAATAAGAAAAGAGGAGAGGGAAGAGGCAGGTTTACGTACCATTTAAAGTGGTTTATAGGCCATAAATGAAAGCTGTGGAGCTGTAATTAATAAATGAATACACTGAAGAGTACATTTAGGAGAATTAGAGGTATTTCTATTAATATGTTAGCGTTAATGTTAAAATCAGGAGTGAAAGGATTATAAATAAAAAATATTAAATGTCCATGAAGAGCTAACATTTTTACTTAACAGATGGTTGAGAATGAAATAAAGAAGTTTTGTGAAATGACAACCTTTTCAAAATCATGTCTAGTAGCGAGGTTTCACTTGAATGATTTGTCAACAAGTACTATCAGAAGTCAGTGAAAAGAGTCTCACAATGGCTGGAAATTTAAGCATTGCACAAATATAAGCTTTCTCTTTACTTCAAATATAAAAATAGAAAAGTATATGGAAATTCGGGTATCTTTGACAAGGCCAGAAATAAGCTTCTCATTCTCTTATAGGGTGATGCCCTGTGCTCTAAATCAATTCCATATCAGATTGCTTATAAAATGAATCTGCTAGCATTGTTTCTTGATGCTGCCTAAGGTCTGATCACTTGATTATTAACTCCACAACCTTAAAAGTAGCACTACCATATAGGCTTAAATGCTGAGACCGGAACAGTTATTCTTTTTAACTAGTATATCCTTGCTTCACTTCACTTCGTAAGCCCATCTTCCAGTCCAACATGCAGCAACATTTTGAAAGTGCTCACAGAACACATCATATTCTATATGAGCTCTTCAAAGGCTGAGAGTGTTTCTTGCAAAAGAAAATTGGGGTGCTTACCAAAGGGAGGGAGAAAAAGAAGCAGGCCTCTGTCTCACTCATCTCTGCTCCCCACTGTAACCTAGCAATGTATCTGGCACATGGAGACTCCTTAATAAATGTAAAATGAGAGAATTAAATCAGATACGGCTCAGGAGTTAGGACTCTTTCTGTGTCTTTTAACTTGCTATTTTTCTTTGGCTTCTACTTATGTTTGACAAACAGACATACATCTTTTTAAATAGTAATCGCTTGTTTTTCGGGAGGGGGATCCTACTGTTTCAACCTACTGTCTCAGTATAACTGGATAACCTCATCCCACTCAGAAATAGGCCAGATTCCATTGGGCTGCACATTGGGAGGAGAGCGCTTCCAGTCCCATGTCTTCACAGGAATCTTCCAGGTCTTACCATAGTTGGCTTCAATGTATTCGATGGTTTCACAGGGCACGTGAACCTTCATGTCTACAAACTCAGTCCAGCACAGTGTGAACTTGGGAAACAGGTATCTGTGGCAGAACAGAGGCAATGTGGAGAGGGGTTAGACTTTAACACTGGACATTTGGGCTAAGGAAACTCAGCTGTTAGTGAACTCATGGCTGAAAGACAGTCCTCTCCCACTAAATAGCTTTGGGGACAGATAGAGTGGACATTTTATTATTTTTGACTGTCCAGTATCACTTTCCTCTTCTAGTGTTAACGGCAGCTCAGCTCAATTTCTCTCTCCTATTCCTAGTCCCTGTGATTCAAGACGGTTGACCCCACCCTTAGGATCCAGAGATAGATAAAAACTACCCAGGACTATACAGTAAACTATAATGATTGGGTCAGGGATGGGAATTAGGCACAAATTAGGCACATGAAAGTCAGCTTTGGAATTTCTGTTAGACTGGTTTTGGGGAAGAGGTGGTGTTTTTGCTGAGTTTTCTAAGCTGGTAGAATAGAGGCTGAGCCACGCTGGTGGACTTTTTTGCTTTTAGCAGAGAAAGTTTGTCTGAGATGAAGTCAAAGCAAAAAACTGCCAAAAGATGGAGGAAAATGACAGGATTCAGAAAGTCCTGGGGCAGCGCCTGGACTTGGCTGTGGCCATTCCCTAAGCATTTTGGTGAACCAATAAATATATATTTTTTGACTACATTTTTAATACTTGAAATTCTTAATACCTGCAGGAAGACACGTGCAGCAGTGATAAAGGAAATGGAACCCTCCCAGTCAGTCAGAGAACCTGAATCAATCCTGGCAATATCTGACATTCTTCAACAAGAGCATCACAAATGCTTGTATCTTTATGATGGGTCATGTTAATCTCTGTGTCCTGGGTTTTACTGTGGTCCCAGATGGCTTTTGATACGCTACTCAGCTTAGATAGCAGAAGGAGAAATTCCCAGGGTCTGCCAGGGTGTTCCTCAAACTCCTTTCCTAACTCGTACTCTAGTGAGAATTTCATACCACAATACATGAATATGGTAAGTAGGACCCATTAACTTGTCTTTTTGAATAAAGCTTTATACCCCACCCCCTCCTCAAATGCAAGAATACACATCTATTGCTTGGATGCACTGTACTTCGATACTTCTCTTAAAGGACAGCTACGCAAACCACCTTCTTCCTGCTCTGTCTTTTATTTTACCACCTGCCATTTTAAAATCTGTTCTCAGCCCCAAACCGTTTTCTTACTTTTTTTTTAATAGTTTACATATCACTAAATCACCATTAAATTCTAGCTGCTACTAAAAGAACCTAACGAAAGAACACTAAAATAAACAGCATGCATGTAAGGTGAATATTCTTTTCTTTCACAGTCTGGACTTCCCAAGGCTATATAGCAAGCGTGACCCCAAGATGCATTCTCAGGCTTCTGTCCCTCACATGAATGTACTTATAGTTTCTGCCTTCCTTCCTTTCATTTCAAATGCTAAAGAACATTTCTAAACCAGTCCAAGGAATATTAGTTATAATGAATTTTACTCTATCTATAGCAGAGCTATCTTAATTAGTAGTGGGTAAGTTTCAGAAATTAAACGAAAACATGTTTCTTAAAGGTACTCTGGATCAGTAAATAAAATTGTATATATTACAAAGGGAAGATAAAACTACCAGCTTTGTTAGATTTAAGTTTTTATTATAACCCTATATTCTTTGTTGTTTTCTGAAAAAAATGTTTCTTCTCTTCACAACATGGGAAGAACTTTCAAGAATGAGACTTGAAGTGGCAATAGCAGAGATCAGAGAAATTTAAAATATCAGAAGATTAAAGAAAAAAAAAGAAAGGGAAAAAAGCCAGATGTCAAAGTGCAATCGTACTGTGAAAATGAGGTCTAACTGGGATATTCTCCAAAGAAAGGTCACTTTTCATATATTCTGCTTTCGAATATCATGTTTTACCACCAGATGAACATAGAGCCATACATGAAAATGAGAGGCTGAACAAATTCTAAAGAAAGCAACAAGTCTCTTCTACCCAAACCAATGGGTGCTGGCAGCTAATAGACAATCCCAGCTGGCTTCTGTGAAAAGCCAGCTACAGCAAATCTCAAAGCTGAGGAAGAAATAAGATACAGCATAGCTCTACCATCTGCTGGTCCCACTTTTACTCTGCACACTCATATTCATGGAATTGCTTATTTTGTCATCAGACATATCCATCCATCACTAACCTCCACCCTCCCCAATCACACCCTGGTCAGCAGAATGTCCACCTGTCCCATCCTATCAAGACGACACACTGAAGTTGAAATGAGGCAAAAATCACAGTCTATCTAGTAACACAGGCCAGGAAATTTCTCTCTTAAATATTAGCCTCTACAGTCTCATCACAGAGAGGAAAAAAAGAAAAATCATAGGTCCAGGATACAGAGGGTAAATAAGAATACTACAAATTTTACAAAAGCGTTGTTTTGAACAACAAAAGATTATGAACAAAACCAAAATACATAAACAATGTTAAAATAATTCAAAGACAATTTAACTCAAATGTTAATTTTTGTTCCTAAATAGAAACATCCCTAAACTCTTTGTGGTTTTCTTTTTACCAAATAATTTTCAGTCTATTCAGCCAAAAGAAAATTCCAGCTTCCTAGGAGAAGAGGAAAGATAAACAAACCGCAAAATGTGAAAACTGACTATAAAATGGAATTGTGGAGAGGAAAAGCAGGTGTGTGTGTGGGGGGAAGTGAGTGACACAGAACAGCACATGCCATGTTACCAATAAACAATGACTAATGATACACCATGGGTGTGCAATGTTACCTTAGCCTTTAAAGCTAAGATTAAGTTCAGCTAGTGGTTCGTACTTTAAAGCTTGATAAGGATCCAAAATGTGAAGACTTACAATCAGACTAAGGAACACTAAATCAGAATATAAATTCAAGGGATCTTATCTCACACTCACACACACACACACACACACACACACACACACAAACTCCTTCCGTTTATTTTCTATCTCATAACATTTTTACTTCGTTTTATTTTTCCATAAAACAGGCATTAGAATTAAGAATTAGTTGGAATAGAACATTTTTTTTTCTCACAGAGATCCTTAAAATCTGTAAAACTACTTACCGGTGGTTGGATAAAGTAATTTCATCGGTTTAATTATACAGCCTAATAAACATAATTGCTAAATGAAAATAATTTTTTATTATTACTAGTTAGTTAGACTAAGTGAGATAAAGACACTCAATTACAACTGAATCTGACCTTTTTAGATATGTTTGCATTAAACTCTAAAGTTGGAACAGCAGAGTCATTTTTTTAAAAAAAAGAATTTCCTACAAAACAACATAAATGGCTTCTTCTCATTACCAATTTTGTCTCTTCTTTTAACTCTTAATTTCTTTTCCTTGTGTTAAGCCCTCTAGCATACTACTTAATAGAAGCAGAGACAGCACAAATTCTTGTGGGTTTTTTTTCTAAATTTAATAGAAAGGTTCCTAAAGTTTTACTATTTATTGCAATTGCTCACTCTAGGATTTGGTATATTCCCTTTATCAGGTTAAAGAAATTCCAGATCCCTTTTATTCCAAGTTTACTAAAAAACCTTTTTTTTTCTTTTTAATTAGGAAATTTACTGAAATTTTTAATGTCATATACTGAAACAATCACGTAGTTTTTTTCTCCCTTTAATCTTTTAATCCTTTAATGTTGAGAATTATACTAATACACACACACTACAAAATTCTATTCATGTGTTTCACTTAGGATATTTCTATGTTCACTGAGACCGTAATTTCTCTTAAAATTTTTTTGGATACTGTCGAAATCCTATATTGCTATCAGTCTCATAAAATTAGTTACATTTTTGCTTTTTCTATTTTATGACATAGGTTATATACTATAGGGAATAATCTATTCTGTGAAGGCACGGTAAAACTTTCTAGAGTTTTTGGTAGAGAAAAGGGGGAAAGGAGCTTTTTTGGTACTAATTAAATTTCTTTAATGAATATAGGTTATCTATATCTTCTTGAGTTGATTTTTACATTTATATTTAAACAGAAAATTTTATCATGTTCACATTTTATCTAATTGTCACATTTACTGACTTCAAGTTGTCTGTAGCATTTTCTTTTGAGAGAAACAGTGTGACACGGTTAGGAGCATAAACTCTAAAACCAAACATCCTGGTGTGAGTATTGAATATTACCTTTAATTTTGCTTTTTTTTGATCAATCTTGCTAAATGTCTTAAATAGTTTTTAATTTAGTTTTTAAAGAACTAGCATTTGGATTTGTTGATCTTTGGTACTGTTTTTTATTTTATTAATTTCTTCTCTTGGCTTCCTTCTTCACTTTATCTTTTAACTGCATTCTATAAGTGTTGATTATCTTTGAGTTCTAAAAATTTTATAATTCCTACTGTGATTTCCTTTTTAATTCATTTAGTTATTAGGGAAGGCATTTAAAGTTTCCACACATTTTAAAGATGTCTAATTTAATTTCCATTGTGGTCATACAATGCCATCTATTGACATACTCATGCAGGTTTTTACCCTTCAGTCTGTTAATGTGGAGAGATTTACACACACACGTGCACGCACGCACGCACACACTTTCTTTATATTAATCTTTGAAATGTACGAAGATTGCCTTTCTGACATAGTACATAATCAACTTCTGTAAATGTTCCATTTATAGCAGGTAAGAAAAAATATTCACTATTTGTTGAGTAAAGACTTTTATATATGTCAAATAGATCAAACCTGTTAATTTTGTTCATATCTTAAACATTTTTACTAATTTCTTCTATGCTTATATCGGAAGTTTTAAAAATAAAAATAAATCAAAATCTCCCACCATAATTGTGGATATGTCAAATATTCACTAGAATTTTATCAGTTTTTTATATATTTAAAAGCCATATCGTTAAAGAATCATATAAGCTCATGAACATTATTTCTTCTTTGGTGGACTGTTTCTTTGTAAGATTATGTAATGGGCTTTTAATCCTTTAATATTTCCCGCCCCCTGAAATTCTATGTTGTCTTACACTAAAATTAATTATAGTATCA